ATCTCGGAGAAGGCATGGATGTTTAAGTGTATAGTGTCTGCGCGGCATGAGAGCATTCAAAATATTGGCTAGGCGAAAGTACTCTCGAGTGGTTTGGTGCCAGGGAAAGAGGGAGACACCTTGGATCCCGAGGTGTCCTCGATCAAAATATAGGCGGAGCTGCACAATTAGTGCAGTGGAACTATAACTGTACAAACAGTGCTAAAATATTGGTGTTCTGCCCACTTATACCTATGTTAAAAGTTTTCGGTACTTACGTATTATCCCATCGACCGTGAAAGTTGGCTAGCGTCGAACCATGAAAGTTGGTGGAGATTCCATCAAAGTTCCGCCAGTCATTCCTGCTGACAATTCTTTATTTAATAAACAATCAGTATTCGATCCGCTTCGTTTTTGCGCTTCGTAAAAACAAACTTTGGTCGATGTCTACTATTTGTTAGGCCCTCCGATTTTACCTGAAGCTCTGTTTAGAATACTATGAGTATAAAGTTCCCGCAGGTTATTGTTCCAATCTGTTCCTGTTTTGTCTTTCATTCACACGCACTTTTTTGATTATAGGATCCTATAATTTTTAAAATAATCCAATACTTACTGTTCTATGGAAAGTAGGTCCACCATTTAAAATTTTTTTTTCAAAATGGATGAAAAAACAATTATTTTATATCCTTGTTCATAAAAACAAAACGTAGCTTGTGCAAAATCAATCAAGGTTAAACGAAAGCACAGATGATATGAGTGTGTTGTTACGTCACGCTTATCCACACATTGTGATAAATCGCAGTGCTTGACCACAGTTTTACAGTCGACGAGATAATACATAAGTACCAAGTTTCCTAACGTAATATATATATATCTATTAGGTTATTTATTTCGATAAACAAAACAAAACAAAAAAAATTACAAATTAAAAAACTTTTTATTGGTAATACTTACTATGAAAACAAGATCACTATATTAAGAGATAAGAAAAATGCAATTAATTTAATGATAGCAAATGAGCCACATTAGAACATATAGCTTTCACACAGAACTGCTCAATAAATCCGGCTAAATCTAGCTGGTACTTTTACAAATGGTTATTTATCAAAGAAACTTCTAGTGTGGGGCTAAGTGGTTTATTTGGAATAAAACAAAGCGAAAACAGGTGATGTGGTGTATTTAATTATGGCAAAGCACACTAGGGTTATCTGCCTAAGAGGGATGCCTTTCGTGGAGGACTTTCTAAGGGAAACTAGCTCGGATACACGTTACACATGGGGAAAACCACGAAAACACCCATGCAGCCAGCCCGTTCGCGGGATTCGAACCTCGGACCGAACTACCAGTGTTTAACGACTTTACCGCTCGGCCGCTGGTGGGCCCAAAGCGAAAACAGGAAACTTTTCAGTAGAATGTGTCCTTACGCATTTTGAGGAATACCTTACGAACGATAGTTTCTGTTTGCATTAATTAAATGATCTCGAAAATTCTTCAAATACAGCATTCACTCAGTGTCTAATAATCTCACCTTTTCTTTAATTTTTATTTGGAGCCTGTACGATGTTAATTCGAATGCGACATACGTAATATTTTAGGAACAAATGGGTTTAAATTTCGGAAGATATTTGATATTTCGTATACTTTTTCGCTCGTGCCGTTCTGTTCAGTGTAGTGGTTAGCAGGACCGACTGCCTCATCTTTAGGCCCGGACTCTAATTCCGGAGAAGGCATGGATGTTTATAAGTATATTGCCTTTGTGGAGTGAGGGACTTAAAAATCTGTCGAGTTGAAAGTTCTCTCGAGAAATCAGTGGTAGGAAAAGACGACTACAAGACACTTGGTTTCCCTTCATCACAGAATTCTTGGTGAACACTGGGATACAGTATACTGTCACCTACAAGATGTTCAAGCATTTTGGTTAACGGCAGGCCCTCTGTTCCTGTTGTTCATTATGAATTCGTGGAGAAGAGAAAAAGGCCAAATTGCTGTTCAGATCAGAAGACTAAGTAAACACAACATCAAAATGTTACGACCGTATTACAATATTTCATAGTAATAAAAATACTGTACTAGAAGTGGAGGATTAAAATGTCCACAAAGATTTTATATGACCTTGTGTTAATTTTTTCAGACATCCTTTTTACGATATTTTTGTAATCATTATTATTGAAAACTTTAATCTTAGTGCATAACACAGCAAAAATAGTTTATCTTCTGTTCAGCTGATATGAATTTATCTTCTGATAACTAGTTCGTTCTTCATTGATTTCAGAACAATTTTTTTTCCTTAGTTGCGGAAGTTATGGAAATACTTTACAATGCGTCAAACTGCAACATTCAAAGAAACATAAGTAAAAAATAATCGACGCAACAGACGAAGGCATCAATCCCCTTAGGGAAATAGCTCTTGCATACTTTGCAATATCCGAATAACATAACCTAATAACCTAATCGACACAACAAAAAATTCGTTTTTCGAAATATATTGACCAATTATTAGATCAGGCGTCGGCAACCTTTTTTGGCTGCGGGTCAGAATTAACCAAAATTTGTATAATAAGAAGACGTTTTGGGTCAGTAGTATTTTCCTTTTAGAACAGTCTTTCTCGATAAAAAATAAAATAAACTTTATAAAGAAAAACATTACAGTTCGCTTTAAACTTTAAAAATAGAAATTAAATTATAATTTTAATTATTATAAGACCAACTACAATTGAATGAACTTTAATTTTTTTTCTTCGATATGGGCTGCCTTAATGTTAAAATTGTGACATTAGTTTAGTCAAATTTGGCTTAGTCTTCTTAAGACGAACACAAGCATTTGAATTTTCGGCAGTAAGCTATTCTTGTTTTTAGTTAAAATAGTTTTCATGCTTGAAAATATTTGCTCGTATTATATAAGTTGAATAGAATAAGGACAAAATGACAAACCAATTTTTTTTGGAATTTTGAATTATGGATCGCGCTGCCAAACTTATTGGTTTCTCCTTGAAGTTATGCTATAGTTTTTATTTTTTAAAAATTAAAAGGCCTGCTCATTGTTGCAACTTGGTAATCAAACAAAAATGCTGCTGTTGTTATTTATTTTCGTTAATATTTTTTGTGTTCTTCATGTGCTCGTTTCATAGTTTACTTTTATATATTATACTTTATTTTCGGAACTCAAGTTGGTCACTTGGTGACCCGATAGTTATAGATTGGCGAGGCCTGGATTAAATCATTTGGAAAAGTAGGCAGCATTCAACATATGCATACCTTTTTCAATATTTGATTAGGTTATGTTGTATAAGGAAAATCCGACAAGTATTCTGCCTAAGGGAAGGAATGCCTTCGTGGATGATTTTTAAAGGGAAACTAACTAGTATTCACGTTAAACATGATTAAAACCCCGAAAACCATTCATGCAGCCTACCCATTCACTAGGGTTCAATCCCGGCTCTAAATTTCAGTCTTAATCAGTCTTTAACCACTTGGCTCCTGGTGGAACTTTTGCAGCATTTGAACGACTTAACTGAAAGTAATATCATGTCCAGGTCCATTTTAAGTCTGGTATTAATACATTCCTACTAACTAATCATTTACCTTACACTTAAAGGCCTACCAGCGGCCGAGCAGTAAAGTGACACTGATAGTTCGGTCTGAATTTCGAATCCCGGGAATGGGCTGGCTGTATGAGGGCGTTTTCGTAGTTTTCCCCACGTTTAGTGTGTATACGACCCAATTTCCCATAGAAAGTCTTCGACGAAGGTATTCCTCTCTTTAAGCAGATAATTCTCCAATGCTTTACCCTAACCAACTAAACCTAACCTTACACTATAAATTCTCTGCAGCTGAAATTATAAAACTTAATATAACAGCGTAACATTTATATATTAAAATGAGTACAGTGACAAACTGATTAAACATAACAAAAGAGTAACAAAGTTTACAAATCAGTTGTTAATTTATTGACAATTATGGCATCATAAGAATGGCTTGATATTATTGGCCATATTATTGGAGATTATATGCGTGGTCTAATTTGTTGCCAGTTCTGGAGATTATCTGTATAATTATTATTGGCGATTTTGATTATAATAGGGTAATAAAGCATTTAATTTTTCGCCGAACTAAACTTGCTTACCAAACAGAAACTGTGCCAAAAATATTTCATTTGTTTTTCATAACTGTGCACGAAGAAATCCAGAAAAGACTTTGCTGCCAACTAGTTCTAAACTCCACCGGAACTGCGATTCTAAGAAGCATAATCTGATACTTTGTAGGCAACGATTAAGGGGTAAGGCCAGCTAATATTTGAAATTTTATATTATAAATAAAGATATATAGTTTAAATTGAAACCTTTACTTTTTATCCGTGAAAAATAACAGCGAATGACTCTTGAAAAGTATATTGTGTAAACATTTTTCTTGGAAATAAATCTCTACGTAAAATTATGTCTATGATCATGAAAATGTTCTCTTATTTTTTATTAATCTGACGAAAACAAAATGTTGTTTAATAAAAGCCTGTATGCAAAATCAGAAATAAGATATAATTTTCATCGCGAAATGCAGTTTAACCTTTTACTGTAGAATTTTAGTTTAAACGATTTCTCTCAAATGAGAACAGACATGATGTGGAAATTTGTTGTTACGTGAATACTGATTTGTTACATGATAACAAAAGAAATGATAGCATTATCTCATTAATCTCCCATAGCACGTGGTCTTCAAGTTACAAATTTAAGATTTCACAAAAGGTCTCTTTTATCCTAAATTTTTGAAATCCGAAGTTAAATCATCTCGAAAATTTTTTCTTACCATTAACTTTTATGAACGTGCTTGAGTTTACATAACATAGTATGACCTCTGTGTCGTTTATTTTCCATATCATTCATTTATTTCTATTGCTATCTCTTATGAAAGCAATAAAAACATTGTTCCGGACAAAACGAACTGTGACCTTCTTATCAGTTGCTGAATTGTTCCCTTTTGATAAAAGAATACCAAATTTGCTCTGAGAGATCACTAGTTAACACCGAGAACTGAAATACCTAAATAGTTTTCTACGTCGCAAGAGAGTAGTGAATTAGTTGAGAGAATGCATGTAGCTAGTATAGCGGATTAACTACAGGAGGTGTGCAGGTCAAGGAGAATCAAGTTTATTTATAAATGCTAAAGACAAGAAATAATTTAATTATAATTTTAATCAATTAATATATATATATTTATACATATATATAACTGAAAGATTTCACTGTTTGTTTTTTTCAAGTAAGCTGTATCTAAATACTTTTTTAAATATTTAATTTTTGAATTGCTTTTGAATTTGAAGAAATTTACGCTAGGTGAATTTTAGATACTTTCGTTTTTACTTAATGTTATATTATTTAACTCTTACTGATTTATAGCGTTATGCTTTAATGTATAAAACAAAAGCTCCAAATGTTTACCGATAATAATTCAGTAACATTATTACTTTATTTCCATTTCAGATGCTGTTAATTAAGCTTATAGTTATATGTTTTCTATATGACGAAGATTCAGGTTTTATAGAGTAGATGTGTTTTTTAAGTGAATGTGAAACGTCTATCACATTATAGCATGTTAATTATTTCAGTTCCCCCTTTGTGTGTGCACATATTTAAAAATCTCTACGTACTTTTATCTTATTAATGAGATGAATAACTGAAAATAGAAATAGAGATTTGAATATATATCTGAAATATGTGTGAGGAAAAAATGGCTTCGGAAACTATTACTGACTAAATTTACGAAGCAAAAAATTTTTATTGAATATATTTACGAAATTAATGTTAAAAAGCAGTTTGTGTATATATTTAATTGTATATATCTGCGCATGCAGAACATCCGAAGTTTCCATTTCTTATTACTTAAGCCATGAACCATTATTGACAAAAAGGAATATACGTTAGTAAGACTTCTTCTGATTCCTGTAATTGTCTCCCGTATTCCGCTAATAACATAAATGTATTCAAATCTCAGACTATTATATATCATTATCTGATAGAGATAGTTTCTTTAAATTTAGGTATAAACAAACTCTTTGGAACACCACAAACAGACAGGAAAGTAGTTTATTAGTAACTTATACACAACATTTTGGTTTCGTGTTAGTGCTAAAAAGTTATTAAAGAAGGGAAAAGAACAGTCCACCCTGTTTTTACTTCTAGAATTGCTAATTATGTAGAACTCTGCGCATAAAATTCTAATACTGGTTTATTCGATATGAAGAGAATTAAAAGCATGAATAAAGTGCAAAACGCTAGTGGTTCTCCCAGCGTTCCGTTTTTGAACGAAACCTGAATACGAGCCAGTTTTCTTTAGTAAATTTTAAGCAGAAACAGAGAGTTGCCTCAAGCTTCACAAAAATTAATTATTCAACCAACTAATCAGCTGGGAATGAAAGAATTTTAAACTGAACCTTTTTGATGAAACTAAATTAGTTTCAAAAGCTGCTTCTATCAAGAAAACGTTCAATGCAAATTTTAATAGTTGCATGAAGAACAAAATAAATAGGTTTTAAAAATTTTTCGGAAATATACATTTATATGAATACAAATGCTACTTTGTTTAGCGAAAAAAAATCTTAACTATATTACCTTTACCGTCTGTTGAAAAACTGAGGAAAGTAAGTGTTATAAAAATAGGAATAAGAATGTTTTTTATAGAATAAGAACAAGAAGGTTTTATAAAATAGGGACAATTAAAAGTTTGTGAAAATTTAGAATATGAAATTGATAATGATATGAATAAATTTTTAGCATTATTAAGAGCAACGGAAATAAAAACATGATTCTTAAATTTGTCATATATTATAATTCATGTTTTACATCAAAAGTACTTTGAATTCAGTATACTTTATTTCAGGAAGTACTGAAGATTTCAATTCTTTGATACCTCTACAGGAGAAAAGGGTAAGAGATAAAAAAAGTCATAAGTTATTTAAATAAAAATTACTCAGTATTTTTTATCTCAAGTATACAACTTTAAGAAATCAATAATATACAAACATCTACGAGGCTGCTGTGAAAAAAAGCAAGTAGAAATAGCCTGAGGAAAACAAATGGTTTGGAATTTTTTTAATTATGTCTGAAGCACTAACAGAAGATATGCCGTAGTGGAAGACTTTATGAGGAAAAATGATTTGTATTCACATTGCACATAAGCCATAAAATAGCCAAGTCATCCAGCCAGTTTTCCGGGATTTAGTTACGGGTAGAGCCACCAGTTTCAGAGAACTTTTCCACTCTGTCATTGGTGAGAGGAAAGCAAACGAATAATTTGAATAAATTTTATGGTTCAGTGGCATTTTGAAACCATGTCTTTAGCATTTTAATTTAATACCCTGAGCTGTCATATCTTTCGCGGTTGGATCCTAGAAGAGCCCACGCCCTTGGCGCGCCCACTTATATGGTGCATATCAATGTGTATATGGACAAAGTCAAGGAATTGTGCAATGCCAAGTTTGTGCAATTTTGGGATATTTTTTCAAGTGAAAATAGGTCGATGTGTACATGGATACCGAGTTTGTGCAATTTTTTGACTTGTTATTTTCAAGTTGGCGATTTTGAGAATTGATTTCAAGTTGGCGATTTTGATTTTGAGAATTGCGCGAAGCAGTGGATGATTCTGCACTTTCCCAGTTTGTCGCCAAGGGTATGGGCTCACCTAGGACTTTACCTGCTTCGCATTTTAATTTAATATCTTGAGCTGCTTAGTATTAATTGCTCGATTTGTTTTAATTTGTTACGCTTTCTAACGGCATATATTTATAGAATGTTTTGACAAATCAAATACCTAACCTAATATATACTTTGACTTTTCAGATGTGACTGAAATAATTTTACCTCACGCGATGAAATATAGATTTTTATCTCTGGTACTTTTATAAATTTATGCGCTTTTTCTACTATAAGTGATTTAAACAGAATCAGGAGTAAGTATTATACTGATCTATTTGCTCCTGATTTTGTTACTCTACGTTTAGTAGGGAAAAATGGCTCGCAGACAACCTAAAAAAGAAAGTCAGTTACGTTTATAAGCTTTTCTTGAGTACCATGAAGTCCATATTCGCTGCGATCAAATTTAAGGTGTTAAAGTTGTTCCATCACTGGATATAGTTTCTTTTATGTGATCTGATTAGGATTATTCCTGTGTGTCAGTAAGTGGTTAAAAACTGTGTGTAGAGAAAGAACGTCTTTGAAAATAGTATAACTTCCGAATTCCCATTTAAATTACAGGTTGCAACACTGGATTTGCAGCCATTTTAACTTAAACTGGTCGAATAGAGTCATATTGAAGAAGTCTCCCCATTCAGGTATAATTTCCGAGATTGTTATATTTGTAAATCTTCTACATATATTAATGTATCAGTAACAAAGAGTAAATGATTCAGTTCAAAGGAAAAGTTGTAACAAATCATATTAGCATTCCTTTTCATAGAGAATTTTAAAAATGGTACTTTCGCAGACGGCAGTTACCTTTTGCAAGCAAATCATGTGACCGGTGAAATATTAAACAATTCTTAGATTCATAATAGAACTGCTTAGTTGAAAAGATCATATGATAGTACTGCTAATTCACTTTGATTGTCAATTCAACTTTGATTTTGACACCAATCACTTTGATTTATACATAACTTTGCTTTTAATCCAAACAGCTTATTTAGAAAAATTGATACAAAATTTGCGGTATTAACCACATATTAAATAAGGGATATTGAGTTTCAAATAGCGATTAAAGCGAAAGCATTCATGACCACTTGAAATCAATTTAAAAATTCCAAGTTCCTAGTTGACATATCCTTCCAACAAAACTAATTGCAACAGGCTGCCCGATCGAAAACCTTAATAAAAGCATAAAATCCTTCATAGCCCATTTTTTAATTTTATACCACATAGAATGAGGCTTAAAATAACAGTATCTATTAAAGTAAAATATTATACTCGCCATGATCATTAAAAACTTGATTCAATTGTATTTCATAGACAATTAATACATTATATTGATACTTATATGAAAGGCACAGCAATTTGACGCTCCTCTGTTTTTGCTTAATTTTACTTTAGAGTAACTCGCAGAAGTAATCTATTCAATGAAATTCCCAATAATATTGTCGAGGATTCTTAAAGCACTTGTTAAGCAGATATTAAGACCAATACTCAATTGCTGTCTGCGTATAAGGGCTTTTCAGAGAGAAACTGATTCGTATAAGGTGAAAACTGGGAGGACCTGAATAAACTACTGTAAAGAATCGAAACCGGAACAAATTATTCGTAGTTAACTGTTTTATTTGAAGGCTGGTGTGTGTGTATTTCAGGTTATAGCAAAATCAACCGGCTGCATAGATAGTTTTGTGGCTTTCTTCATTTTATAACATGTAATGCATTATTATTATTTTCGAAAAGCATTCAAGATAATTCCTAACTTGATAACGAACATTCATCTAGCATGGCTGTTAGCAAAATTCACAGTTAAATAAAAAAACTAATATTTAACTTGTAAATAGACAGAAATCTGAGAATTTTATCCCCGAATCTGGAAATTTGACCAGCGGGTAAGAAATGTAGTGAATATTAGAACATACTTATGCAGCAGATTAAGTTTTTTTCCTTCTTTTTCAATCATAACTTTGCGTATAATTGCATACTTGAACGGTGGATGTTTTCAAGTTCATGTTGTTTTAACACTGTATACGTAGAATAACTATGAAAATTTTATGATACATACCTGGCATTACATGGCAGATTGCTATTTCTTCAATCTGCATAATCAGTTTTCAGTTAATAATCTAGTTCAAATTTTCTTACATTTTCAACGGAATATTGGTAGCATACTTAAAAGATATTTATTAAATTACTAGTACAATATTTCCGAAAAATACCAGTAAAGTATCTACACTGTGATGGCCCATCACAGAGTGAAGGAGCTGCATCCATTAACCTTTAGTCGTATAAGCTTTCCCCATATAATAACATGATTGTGTGTCAGTTTTCCTTGAAATGTCTTCCTCGAAGATCTTTCTCATCTTAAAAACCCTGATGATACCCTGATATCATCACCCTGATTGATAAATTCAGTTTGAGTGTTCGACTCCTTTTCTTTCTCGGTAAATTTTATTCATCCTTATATAGATCTTATTGAACAATTTAAGTATTTTAGGACTGATTTTTTTTTTCTTTGGCAATGACTCCGTAGCCTGTGGATGATATTACAACTAATATTAAATTTTATACTTCAGCACAAGGTAAGCCCGTAATTATCTGCATGATTACCCTCTATCGTCATTAAGTGTTCGATTTCTTTACCGCGCAACCAGCAATGTATGTGAATAAAAAATGAATTTCGCTAATACTTACTGAGAATGAAAACATACGCTAAAGTATATTTTACCGAAATAGCTTTATGATAAATAAGTCTTATTTTTCTAAAATTGGTAATAACATTTTATTTAGGCATTCTTTAGTACATGGCCCACCAGCGGCCCAGCGGTAAAGTCGCTGAACACTGGTAGTTCGGTCCGAGGTTCGAATCCCGCGAACGGGTTGGCTGCATGGGTGTTTTCCCCATGTGTAACTTGTATACAACCCAGTTTCCCTTAGAAAGTCCTCCACGAAGGCATCCCTTCCCTTAGGCAGATGGCCCACCAGCGGCCGAGCGGTAAAGTCGCTGAACACTGGTAGTTCGGTCCGAGGTTCGAATCCCGCGAACGGGCTGGCTGCATGGGCGTTTTCGTGGTTTTCCCCATGTGTAACGTGTATACGAGCCAGTTTCCCTTAGAAAGTCCTCCACGAAGGCATCCCTCCCCTTAGGCAGATAGCCCTAGTGTGCTTTGCCATAACTAAATACACCACCACCACACCACCCTTAGGCAGATAGCCCTCGAGGCCTTTACCGTAATTAAATAACCTAACCTGATCATCTTTAGTACTTGCGTATTAGCCCGTGGACCGTGAAATTGTCACCAAGCATCGCGATTTTTGGTCATGATATGCCGCCATAAAAATTGTGTATTTATGAACATGATAAGGTCAGCGGAATGTGGCCGACAAAACGGTAATACATTGAAAAAATTACTCCCGGGAAGTCTGTACTCATAACGTACTAAACAGAGTTTCCAGTAAAATAGGCGAACCTAACAAAATATACTAGAACTCTAAGAAAACCATTTTTTCGAAGCTCAGAAATCAAGAGAGTCGAATATTGATTGTTTATTAAGTAAAGAGGCGTCAGTTCCTTCCGAATTCTGCAGGAACGATTAGCGCAAGCGCAACTTTAGTGGAATTTCCTGTCAAATTTCATGGTTCGACGTAGTCAAACTTAACAGTCGACGGGATAATACGTAAGTATCCTTTTTTTCCCTTTCCTTAATGCTTGTTCTTCATTGTTAAAACTATTATTTTAGTTCTATCCTCTTCTCACCCCCTGTTTACGTAATATAATAGATCTTCAGCGTAGCTATTTTTTAATATGTGGAGACCGTTTTGTATATAACTACATACGCAATCAAATTACTTGGCTAATCTTTGGAATATGGTAACAGGTAGATTGGCGACATTTTGGTAAGGCGATAAAGGTTACTAGCTAGGACTTTAGCAATAATCTAAGAAGTACACAGTTCGAATCACAGATTATTTTGTGTCAGAGAAAGGAAAGATCATGAGACATGTAATGTGACATTTTCCAGAAAATTCCGATCGTGATTTTAGCTAATAAGCACTTAAGAAACAATTTCGCTGCTAAAGTGCAGAACCGCCCACTTATTTGTTTGGCGCTTTTTACAAGAGTAAGAAGAATTGGAGTTTTGTCAATTTTCTTTGACTTTTTAAGTGAAAATCAAGAGTGTGCGCAATGCCATTTTTGTGCAATTCTGGGATGTTTAAGTGAAAATAGGTCGACGTGTACATGGATACCG